AAATCAACAGAGAGCCCAGAGGCAAACTCTGCAAGGAGAGATTAGCCCGAGCCTTGGTCTTGTTATAATTAAAATCTTTCATTTATGTGTACTGCCTGGCATGCTTTTAAAAATAACCACCTGATAAACCCAAAATTAAATTATGCGTTATTGCAAAACTACAATCTAAGACCAGACCACGGCTATGGTGCCTAACTGCCATGAAGCTGAGTGCTTTTCTCAACACTGTATTCTTCCAGAAGTAATGAGCTGTTCCCTATCATCACAGAGGGGCGCGGATCTGCGGCCAAACCCCCACGCAGGCGGTGGGACGCAGCAAGGAGCTCCTCCAGCCCAGGCACTGAAGGATCGTTTGTGCATTAGTTACTCAGGATTCTGTTTTTAGCTGCAGCATATTTAATTACAAGAGGCTCGTAATTAAAATATGCCTAGAGAGGCAAAATCAAAAGCAAGTATCATGTCCCTGGCTGCAAAATACCTAAGTTCCACAATGATAGCCCTTTGTTCCACGGAGGAACAGTTCCACGTTTTTACAGATCCTCGCATCTAGGTCAACGTCCATCCTTTTCTGATCTGAGGACCTCTTTTATTTTAACTTCAAAAAATTCTACAGCTTTCCACATCACAGCAGAGAGTTGTACTTTTTTAGAATTTATTAATTACAAAAATACCAAATGACCAAAAGCTGGTATGAATAGTGATGCTTTTAAATGTAATATGTTTTATTTATTTATTTATTTGTTTTTATTGTTGAAACTATTACAGATGCCCCTCCTTTTTTCCCCTATTGACCCCCTCCTCCCCACTCCCACCCCTTCCTGCCTGTGTCCATTGGTTATGCCTATATGCATATAAGTTCTTTGGTTTATCTCTTCCCAACACCATCCCCCTGCTAGCTGAGGTTTGTTAGTCTGTTCCCTAGTTCCATGTCTCTGGATCTATTTTGATCATCAGCTTATTTTTGTTCATTATATTCCATAGGTGAGATCATGTGATATTTGTCTTTCTCTGCTTGGCTTATTTCACTGAGCATAATACTCTCCAGGTCCCTCCATCTCACCTCAAAAGGTAAGAGATCTTTCTCTCTTACAGCTGCATAGTACTCCACTGTGTACATGTACCACAGATTTGTTATCCACTCCTCTACTGATGGACACTTGAGCCATTTCCAGATCTTAGCTATTGTAAATAGCATGGACAAAAGCATATACACAAACTCTTCAAATGTAGAGTAGTTATTAGTTATTACATACACTCGACAATTTAACTGCTCAGCTTACAAACCAAGCTTGCATTGAACTCTCCACACCAGCAATAACTCTGAGCTCCCAGCAGCCCCAGAACTCTCTTCCACAGCATCTCCAGGGTTGATTCTAAGAGTCAACCAAAAGCCAAGCATGGAATAACTGGATTTCACTAATATTCTAGTTTCCTCTTCAAATGAGGTGCTTGATCTGCTGGCTATAGAATGCTTGTAACAAAGCAAAGGTGGATTACAACTGAAAAAATAACGAAGTCTTTATATTTTGTATAACTGGCCCACTCCAGGCAACATGGCTCAGAATGAAAGCCTAATCCTAGGAATTCAGTGATTGTGACCCCTATTTCCTCTTTCGTCAAGAGCTACACACGAGCTGGCAGGGAACTGCACCTAATCTTCTTTGTTTGCTTTCATCAGTAGCTACCATTAGCTATGAAAACCACCCATGAAAATGCTAGCAATACACCCACAAAATAATCCCAACTAATGGAGAAGTTTTAAAGGGTGAAGAAAATGTTTTACATCTTGAAGCAAGGGGACCACAGGCTTCCCATCTGCTGCTACACTGATCCCACTCGAACTCACAACTTCTAGAGTTTCAAAATTGAGAGTGGAGTTTAAAAAATCCATCTACTTTCACAGGTTTAACATGTTAATTATCACTTAGATAGTAATCCTGTTAACAGCTCTAAGTTAAGGGCCTGTGTTATATTTAGAAAGCTGCCTGCTGTTGAAGTGGATGCACCTGCTTCTTTTACAGTTACACAGTGAAGAAAGTCTTCTTTCAAAAACACAAAGCACCTATGAGTGATCCTTACTCCAAAAATGCAAAAGCATATCTAAGTAGCTTATGTAAAAAGTTTCTAACTGAAATACCCTCCAGTTAAAGCCCCATCCTTCACACTCTTCTGCAGAGTGTCTCTGAAGCTGTGTTGTTAATGGTGCTGTTCTTTTCTCCACCAAGTAGTATAGTTATCACTACTTAGAATCTTTTAATCTGTTTGTCTTGATTGTGTACTTAATATATTGTATCATTTGTCATCTTGACTCTTAATTCAATAAGACCAGTCAACTATTCTTCATTCTATTCAAACCTTTGAAATGATGTTATTGCCTTAATGCCTAATCTTTATGAAGGTGTGCAGAACAGCAAAATTGCAGGTTTGGCAGGATTTTATTTTCTTTGAAGAAATCATATGACTCCAGCTTCAGTCTGTGGAGTATAATTAAAATGAATTGACATGCTTTGGAGTGTTTTGTCGTTGTTGTTTGGACAGTCCTGTTCGACTAACTTAGCTCCTAATTTTTTATTCTGCTTTTTAAATCTGTTCTTTAAAGACAAACTTTTTTTTTTCAAATGTCAAAACAAGTATTATTCCCTCAGAAACAGGATCTGCAGCAAGTAGACAAGGTCCTAGTAGCCTTCCTAATAAAGTACATTTTAGTTGTACTACCTTTTTATTCTTTACCTTCTTTCTCTCAAAAAGCACACTCAGCAGAGAACAAAAAGGTACCTTTATTTGCCAGTTAATTAATATCAGTCCTCAAACTGTAGAGTCTGCATTATTGTTTTTATGATCAGTAATTACTGTCTACCTCTCTAAGAGTCTTTCTGCTTCTTAGACCTTCAATTCTTTAACAATCAAACACTTTGATTAAACACAATGGGGTGTGAGATGATAGAGGATTAAGAAACATTGTGAAGATCATTTTTCAAGTATCAATTTAAATATTAAGGTAGATATAAAGTAATCCCACGTGGTATGAACCCTCAAAATGGGCTACCAAAGTCCACCAGCAGCAGGCAGTTTTCCCTGGACCACACATCTCCAAGCACTTATCACAGATAATCTCCAGGCTTCAGAACCCCAAATACTTGGCAGGTGTTAGCGCTGCTGGAACTGTTTGTGCTGATGTGCGAGCCTTTCCCACATTTTTTAAGTCAAAAATTGTATCTGTGTATGTTGTAACAGGGACAGAAAAATTATCTTTATGATTCTTAAATATGCGTGAAGAAGAGTTTTCAGTCCTCAACTCCCAGCTGGTAGGTGAAAAACAAACAAACAAACACAGTGCTCAGGAATGGTAGAAATAGGAAGCCAATTCCCAGGAACCTGCTCAGTTGGCTTATCTACCCGCAGGAAACAGAAAACTTTATACAGTTTTCAACGCACAACTACATGAGCATTTTACTCACCATTGGACAGCACTTCTTGATTTGTTTGGTAACATCCTAAGTGGCTTTCACCTTAAGAAAAAAGCTATAGTATATCTATAGCACAGGAAGGCCTCCCTGGAGATCACCGCCACCCAGCTACCCAACAAGCCCATACTATCCAGACGGCCTGAGAGATAAATGTATCACTTTGACATCCAAAAATTGCCTGTCAAAAGGACACTCCAGATGCACGTGTGCACACACAGACACACACAAACACACACCGCCCCCCCACACACACGCACCTGGTTGAGCTGCACCCAGCCTGCATGGGTTACCATTTCCAGGATAATAGAGCACCCGCAGGTTCACTCCTGGAAAACACCAAGAAGGCTCCTCTGGCTTGTTCGTCCCTTACAAGAGCACAAATGCACATAAAGACGGAAAACTGCAGGTCACTAGCAGACCACCCTGGCACCACAAAACCAAGGAGTCTACCAGAGAACATGCCAGGTACCACTCCACCTTGACCATACAGAATGGAGGAATGGAACTAAATTGTAATATCTCTTAAGGGAGGCTCTGAATGATTAAAAAAAAAAAAAATAGCATTAGGTCACTGGCCCTTCCCCCGGAAATAAAGACCCCTGCTTGTTTCAAAAAGAGATTGAAAGAGCTTAATGCCCTCCATCCCCAAACACACACTCAAGCTTTCCAACTTCTAGACTCAAACTGTGAGGACTTCCAAAAGTAGAGGTTTCACCTGCTTATTCAAATAACTTGAATACTACCCTACACCCGGGATGTCAGAAAGGAAAGGTGACAGGAGCCTATGGGTAATGCTTTAAAAATTACACGTGTTCTCTTCCTTGCCCCTCACTCTCCTGCTCTGTTCCCAATTTTCTCTTGATGGGCTGCCTAATGTCACGCCAAACCCGAATCCCATTCTCCCCGGCTGGCCCCTCGCCCCCGCGGGGACAGTGGAACCTTAAACTGTTGCTGCAGCCTCCTGACGTTCCACTGAGAAATCAGGGGAAGCTGCAAAACTTCTTGGCTAGCTCGGCCATCCTCCAGAGCCACCGAGCACCCCGCAGGTACGCAGCCCGCACACGGAAAGGGAACCCTGGGTCAACCTGTTTGCAAAGCCACAGCCCGCAGAACTCCCTGCCCTCCCATCCTGGCTCCCAGGTTCCCCTTCAGGATGGGGGACCCAGACTTCCTTCTTCAGTACCCGCCAAAGCAAGCTGGAGTGGAGGGAACAGCGCTCCGCAGCCCCAGTTCCATGACTCAGTCCCCTTGCCTGATTTCTGTGCCCAAGTCTCCATGTGGGGTGCTCGCCCAGCCCCAGGGTCTCGGCGCAGCGCCCTGGCAGCCTGTCCTTCCACAGCCCCCTGCCTCTGGCTGCCAGAAGCGCTGAGAAGCTCCGCCAGCAAGTTCCTGCGTCTGGCTGGGAGAAGGGGTGAGGCAGGCTGTCCAGGGAGGAAAGAGCAAAGTCTGTGCCCCTGGTGAGCCCTCCACCCCGCTCCTGCCCCGATCCCCTGCTGGCCGCAAGCCGGGCATCCCCCGCGCACCCGCACTCACCAGCCTGGCCAGAGCTGCCGCAGCCTCTGGGAGCCACCTCGTCCCGAGCTTCCCAGGCGCAAGAAAGATGGTGGTGTGTGTCGGGAGACCACCCATTCCAGCGTCTGGCAACCCGGTGGTGACTCTGGCTCCTCAGCACTGAAGCAAGAGGAGGAGGAGGACGAGGAAGGAACAGCGCAGTCGGACGCCATCTGCTGTACAACTCTGCGCAGCCATTGGCTGCCTGGTGCGTCCCCAGAGCCGCTGCTCGGCAGTGGGGTGCCACCTTGCTTCTAGCCTCCCCCCGCAGCTGCCCCCCACCTCCCCGCCCCTCGCCCTCTGCCCCTCTGCCTCCTCCGCCCCATCTAAGAGCCAGCGCACCCTCTCCCCACGGGGACAACCGCAGGCTTGCTGGCCTCAACCTTGGCTCCTCCGCCTCCCGAGGCTGTTTTCTGCAACTTTGAAGCTTCGGGGTGGGGTGCAGGTGCGGACCAGTTGAGGGGAACTCCCCAGCTGACCTGAGCCTGGGGTACCCAAGCCACTGATAGCAGGGGACAGGGGCGAGCACTTTGCACCTCAGGGAACCATAAAGTGATGGGGAGAGGGTAGGAGGAAGAGCCAGCGGGGGATGCTTTGCTCCCTGTTTATAACCCCTCCACTCCCACTCAGGCAGGCGTCAGGCACTGAGACACACGCCATGAAGTGCACACACACAGAGCCTGCCGCTCGGTCCATGCCCCGTGTTCCTCTGCAGTCCCAGGCACGAGAGGGCTTCGGTGTTACACGGAAAAACAAAGATCCTAAATATGTGGAAAAGAGAGAAGGGGGAAAGTTGGAGGTGAGTCAGGGGAACACCAGGAGCTGGGTCCTCACCTGCTTGGACATCCCCTTGCTCAGGGGCTACTCAAGACTGCTAGTCCCCCAGACCAGAACCTGAGAAAAGCTTTTCACAGGGTTTGCCCTCTTTGGGGGGCAGGGGAAGTGGCGATGGGCGTGAGGAGTGGGGAAGAGAGCCTTTGGTTCCCTGTGGTGGGGGTGCAGGTGGCAGCTGAGGAGGTGGAGAGGGAGTCTGCCCAGGTGAGGCAGGAGGGCAGGAGGGCAGGAGGGCAGAGAGCAGGTGGGCGGGCTGGGGGCAGAGTCCCAGCTCTGAGACTCCTTTGCTTAATCTCTGACTCTTATTCTAAACCCTCCTGGTTTTTGATACCTTTGATCTAGGGAGTTTCTTAGGCTTGTTCAGAGAGAGGAAGTTTCTTTAACAGAGTGAAAGGGGGGAAAAGCATAAGGACTACCCATTGCCAATTGCAGGATATTTTGCCTGTCATATTGCTTTTAATGTGTGAGCCCAGGGACAGCAGCAATTGCATCTTTTCTATTTTATCCCATGCTTGGCACACCATGGGTGCTTAAAAAGAAGCGAAATAATCACAAGAAAATTAAAACTTGATGTCACAGAGCAAATTAATTTAGAGATAAACAGAGCAGCTAGGATTGTCACACACAAAAAAAAATCAAAAGAAGCTAAGTGCCATTGAAGAAGGGAAAATGAATAGGATGGTGAGGGATCCTGGTCCACCTTGCTGTGGGACTGGATTCAGAAAGTGAGAAAGGGAACGCACCTTAGTTAATATTTAAAGCAGCAATGGCTATTCTCCCAGTGAGCTACTGCCATCCCACTCTGGGTTATGCTTTTCTTTCTGATATCAGTCTTAAAAATATATCAGCTGCCATCCAGATCCTAGACTATTTTCCCAAATCCAAAACCATGACTTAATACTCTCAAGAAATAAAATGCCAATCCTCTGAGCCTGGGAAAAGGAAAACTAGTCCATTATGTTTTATTGTGATCTCAATAGATATGGATCAATAGCCAGTGAGTCTCATTTAAGTAACTTCAGGAACACCAGCCAAAAAATAAAAAATTATATTTACCTAAAATGTTACATTCAGGATTCCCAGATTTTAGTCTTCCCAGAATCGACGCAGCATTTTCAGACTACATCCTCTGCACAAACAACCATATTGTGTATGCAGTCCTTCTGGAAAGAGGTCATCTAGAAGGACTTCTGAGTATGTCATTTATGAACATATATTCATCCTCCTCCCTCTTCAGAGGCAGTGACATGTTTTCTTTTGATGGGCAATTTGAGCTCAACCTACATGCTAATTTAATGGCAGCCCATTCTCATTAGCCCCTTGCTCTGTGTCAGTGATTAAGTATAGTGCTCATAAGAATACTTGGACTGCCCTGGCCGGTTTAGTTCAGCGGTTAGAGCGTTGGCCTGCGGTCCAGAGAGGCCCGGGTTTGGTTCCTTCGGTCGCAGTTTGTCCCCGTCCCTGGTTGGGTTGTGCGGGTGACAACCACTCGATGTGTCCCTTTCACGTCAATGTTTCTCTCTCTCTCTCCCTCCCACTCTATCTGAACAAAATAGGGAAAAGATGTCCTCGGGTGAGGATTAAAAAAAAAAGAATACTTGGACTAACTTACCTCCTCGGTCACACTGTTTGTATTTGGTCTCTTGTTTTTTGAATCTAGGAAAATAGATAGGGTAATTACGCCCTGGACATTGGACTTCTTAAAGTCAAAAGTAAGTAATGTATAAGAATAAAAGCTAAATTATTTCTAAAATACAAAGAATCATGAACTTTAAACATTGCTACCTTTTGTTAGCTTACTGACTCCTTTAATCTACAGAATAGTCTCTTTTCATTAAGGCACTATGCTGACCACAGGTATTTCAGTATAGTCAAATAGTGGAAGGTGCCCGAACTCTTTCTGAAGTTGTTCAACTGCATACAAATCTGGTAGAAAGAAGGGCAGAAAGTTCTAGCTCACACTCCTCACTTATGTTTTAAATACATATTGTACTGATAATATGCATTTCTTGCCAGGATAGTTAGCTTTGGTCCTTAATAAGAGCACTGCCCTCAAATGTAACATTTAAAGGATAACCCAGGCAGGGAAAGAGACCTTGTCGGTGATGACTGACTGAGGGTGGGTAGGGGTATTTTTATATCAAAGAAAGGATTTGGAAGAAGGCAATCCTAAAAAACCTAGGTGACATTACAATGTGTAGGGAATAGATCAAAGTTCCAACGTGGAAAATAAGCTGGAATAAGCTGGAGGTTATAAACTTCCATAACCCTCTACACACAGATGTCAAAGGCTCCAACCGTGTCCAAGAGAACAATGGAAGAGGAGAAGGGGTGGGAGGAGAAGGTCTCTTGGGACCCAGTACCTAGTGAGAACCAAGGGGGAGCCACAGAGGAATGTAACCTTATACCATCCAAATATCACTGGGGTTTAAATTTCCATCTTTGTTGTGTGGATTTGTCCTTGCTCTTTCTGAATACAGTGTTCTCTATACAGTCTAACAGGCTTGGATGGGAAAATGCTGTGTAAATAAAATAGACAAACTTTACCATTAAGAGATCAAGAAGACATGTCAATAAAGAAGCCCGAAAAACAGAATTGAGAAATGAAGCCTGAGCCAACATCTTGGGCCTACCTCCCAGAAAGTCACTACCCAGGTCTACTCTGGCCCAAAAGAGGAGGGGAAGAAACCATGGCTATCTCATCTACACGATTCATTCAGGCCAGTTCCAGGTTGGATGAGAATGCAAACATTTCTTTCAAGAAAGAAAGAAAGAAAGAAAGAAAGAAAGAAAGAAAGAAAGAAAGAAAGAAAGAAAGAAAGAAAGAAAGAAAGAAAGAAAGAAAGAAAGAAAGGAAGAAAACCTTTTAATACTGGCATACAAATGTAAGTTTTGAGCTTGGTCCAGTAATTTGATTTTGATGTGTCAACATATAATGTAAAGATAATGTATTGAAAAATAGTGGAGAGGAACTCCCCTGGCTTCTGGCCCAAATCAGGCTCTCTGCGGGGCCAAGGCTTTCCCAGCAGACACTCAGCTTTCACACACTCATTCCTGAACCACACCTTTAGTCATTCGTTCAGCAAGATGTTTCTTGGTGTCTGCTATGTTCCTGACAGTATACAACATGTTGATTATTCAGGGACACGGTGGGCTGAGTCCTTGCCCTCCTGGAGTTTACAGTCTTACAAGAGCATCAGACAATAAACACATACACAACCGATTATAAACATACAAAATGAAGGGAAAGGGTTTGGAGAATAAGGAATATAATAGAGGATATTATGAAGGTAGGATAGGGTTCAGGCAAGACTTCTCAGAGAGAGCGATGTTTAGGCTGAAGCCCAAAGACAATAACAGGCAACATTTATTAAAATGTTTCTGGATGTTAAGCATTAGGCTAAGTCCTTTACATATATCCTTTACTCCTCCTCCCTAGCCCTGGTGGCAGGTACTACTATCAACTCCATTTTGCAACAGAGGCAGAGAGATTTTAAGCAACTTACTCACACAGATGATAGTCTGTAGTGTGTACATTTTTAACCACTAAGGTAACATTGCATCTCGCATAAGTAGATATCAGCCAAGAAGGGGGACAGAGGAATAACATGACCAAGGTCCCTGTGGCTTGAAGAGCTTGGCTCACAAAGAACCTATCAGAGTTCAAAGTATCTGGAGACTAGTGAGCCTGGGAAGAGTGACATGAAGGGAGGGGAGGAGGGGCCAGCTGGGGTCAGAGCTCCCAGGTCCTTGTAAGCCAATGGGTGGTTTTAATCCTGTGAGTGATGTGACCTAATTTGGCCTGGGGGGTGGTGGGTATTGGTAATGTTTGTTTTAATTTTAGTTGTGGTTACAATAATGTATACATTTTGCATCACTCAAACTCTACCTTTTAAAATGGGTGCATGTTTTTCTCTGGCCAGTTTGGCTCAGCGGTTAGAGTGTAGGCCCTCGAATGGGGAGGGTTGATTCCTGGTCAAGGAAACACATCTGGGTTGCAGGTTGATCACCGCCCCAGTTGGGGACCTACAGGAGGCAGCCAATCGATGTGTCTCTCTCACATCAATGTTTCTCTCTCTCTCTCCCTCCCTCCCTTCTACTCAATCTAAAATTCAGTGGAAAAATATCCTTGGGTGAGGATTAAAAATAATAATAATAAAAAATAAAAATAAAATGGGTGCATTTTTAATATATTATACATCAATAGAAACATTTTAATTTCAGCTTCTAAAAGATCATCTGCAAGCTGTTCAGAGAAAACAATCAAAGAAAAGAGAGTGGAACAGTC